ACATTCAGCATACCGCCCCAGCAGAAACGTCAAAAGGGCTGGTTTGCTCACTTCATTCTTATCAAGCTCAGCACACGTGGCGTCTGCGCCCTCTCGCGTTCAACCTGCTATGTCGCGTTTCCCTTCACTCGCTGCGTTATCTCTTTCCGTCGTAGCACAATCGAATTCACGAAAAAAATCTCAGTGGTTACTTTTTACTTCTTTTCTTCAGGAACACCCCTCTTAGTACTTCGTGCCTTATTTTTGAACAAAACTGCATCAATTCAATTGTGGACCATAGCTTAAATTGGAGTTTTGATAAAATTACATGGTTTATAGTTCAACGATTGCTCGCAAATGTTGTCCCATTGAATCAACTACAGCATCTCATTTTCTTTAGAAGCCTTGTATTGTTATTTGAATTTGAATCCTATAAACACTAGCGGAATTGCATTTGAGGTGTCACGAACATTTTTGGACTATGTGAAGTCCATCGTGGCACGCACTGGTCTCGCGCGTTGAGGACACTCTCGATCCAGCCAGACTCCTCCTCCTTCCGCTACCATCAAGTAGTGAGACGGTAAACATTGGAGCGGTCTAGTTTGTGGACGATGCTAGGCATTGCGTTACGCGAGATACGTAACGCATTCGTCAACACAGATCCAACACACATGCGATTATTTGCAGAGTCGGCGTCAAAGTGCCGATGGGAAACTGATCCTGGAGGTGTGGGCAGGATTTCATTTCAGGATTAGATCGGATGCTGCATGGCTTTTTCCTGTTTCCGCTTGAAAATTTACAAGGCAGTGAGGTAGTTTGATGATAGGAGTTGTAGCATCGTATTTTCAAACTCAATGGAAAGATCTCTGTTGGGGAAAATCGTTCCTCTTTAGGGCTTCAAAGAGGCGATACTGCCTGAACATCTACTGACTCCGTGAATGCACACAAAGTGTGTGAACCTATGTCTTTACTTGGGACCTGATATGTTTAGGCCTTTGTTTTAGTTAGTGTGAGTTTGACTGGATTTATGATAGAATCTAGAAGCGCTAGGAGCCTTGGTTGTAGTTTGCAAGGCGGCGATGCTAGGCTCAGATTTGACGGATAGTTTTCGCTTTGTTAACCATTCTTGAGCTCTTGTGCAAATCTGGCCAGGCACTTTGGTCGTGATCGTTGCTCTGCATTGGTCTTGACTGTAGGGAGGAGTAGGTATCATCCCCTCGGAACGCGGGTTGTGAAACGGGCGATCACTCCAAATGGTGTCTTTATACTTAATCGGTGAGGAGGTTAATGTGGAAGGTTGCGCGATAAATGATGATATAGCGTGGGTTGTAGTGGATAATTTTTCATGTTCTCATCGGCTGGTCATTCCAAGGGTGGTGGTTGTCGAGCTTGG